TCAAAGAAATCTTAAAAATTTATCATGATAATAACAACAATTGCAATTATGATGAAAATGATTCAAATGATAGTGAAGTTTATGATTCAAATAATGGTAATGAAATTGAAATATATGAAGATGAAGATAATGATAATAAAATTGGCAATGTCAGTAATAGTGATGATGTAATTGATAGTGAGGATGGTAACAAAAACAGTGATCAAAGTAACAATGAATTTTTTTGTACAGCTTTAAACTGTGGTAAATCTTTCAAGGATAGAACTTTACTTAACCATCACAGTAAATTTCATGGTGAAAAAAAATTCAAATGTGAATATCCAGGATGTGCAAAAGCTTTTTCTCAAAAAATCAATTTAACAATTCATACAAAACATCATCTTGGAATAAAAAATTTCAAATGTGAATATCCAGGATGTGCAAAAGCATTTACTCAAAAAAGAGATTTAGCAATTCATGCAAGACATCATCTTGGGATAAAAAATTTCAAATGTGAGTATCCAGGATGTGTAAGAGCATTTTCTCAAAAAAGCCATTTAACAACTCATACAAGACATCATCTTGGAATAAAAAATTTCAAATGTGAATATCCAGGATGTGCAAAAACATTTTGTCGAAATGGTGAATTACAAATACATACAAGACATCATCTTGGAATAAAAAATTTCAAATGTGAATATCCAGGATGTGCAAAAGCATTTTGTGAAAGTGGTGACTTACAAACACATACAAGACGTCACCTTGGAATAAAAAATTTCAAATGTGAATATCCTGGATGTGCAAGAGCATTTTGTCAAAAAGGTGATTTACTAAAACATACAAGACGTCATCTTGGAATAAAAAATTTCAAATGTGAATATCCAGGATGTGCAAAAACATTTTGTCGAAATAGTGAATTACAAATACATACAAGACGTCATCTTGGAATAAAAAATTTCAAATGTGAATATCCAGGATGTGCAAAAGCATTTTGTCTAAGTAGTGAATTACAAACACATACAAGACGTCATCTTGGAATAAAAAACTATGGATGTAATGTACTTGAATGTGACAAAAGATTTATTACAAAAGCTGAACTCAGCTTGCACAAATTTAGGCACCATTAAAATTTGGTTACATGATAATGTTAATAATTATTAGAACTATTAAAAAATTTTAAATTTCAAGTTTTAATTAAATAAATATTTATTACAATATAATCCATTTAATCCATCCTGTAAAAATAACTATTTGGCAATCCAGGTATGAATGATGCATATAACTTTCATCTTTACCTTGTTTGCCACTTATGTGTGGTTTTTTCCTACTTTGACCAAAATGTCTGCCAAAAAAAAATTTAATTTTCCCAAAAACTTAAATCTTATTTCACTGCTATTAAATTATTAAATTTAAAAATGTATACACTTTATGAATTATGTGTATTTGTTTTCCCTTATTCAAAAAAATAAATAGTATAGAACAAGAAGAATTAGATAATTTGACTACTCAAATTTGGGATGAAGCATTTATAGATGAAACAAATGTTGATGAATCAGATATAGGAGGTTCAGGTGATTTGACAATTCAAGGTTCAGATGATGATGGTACTTCAAAAAAATCAAATAAAAAAAAGAAAAAATAGTGAATTAAGTGTAAACCATATTAAAGTGTCAAATAAAAAAGTGCATTTTAAAAATCAAGAAAAGTTTTTAGTATGAATGGCTAACATATATAAATGGTTAAAATATGATACAGCAATGAAGAGAATGTTTTGCACAATTTGTAAAGTACTTGGAAAAAAAATTAATTTGCAGGAAAAGGTGACAAATAAATATAATTAATTTTGCATTTTTCAATTATTAATTTGCTGATATTTTAATGTTATTATTTAGGATCAAAGAATGTTTCAAAATCTAATGCTCTAGCAACTCATGCACTTTCAAACCAACATAATGGTTCTTTGCTTCTAGAAAAGGCAAGAATAAACTACACAAGATTCTTACAAAAAAGCCATTAACAATGGTAACAAACATATAATTAATATTTACTGGATGGCAAAAGAAAATATTTCAATTTCCAAATTTCCAAGTCTTATTTATATCTTAAAACTTATGGAAATAGTGTAAATTGCGAAAGAGGTTTTAGCAAACAGAATATTATCAAATGTAATGAAATGGAAAATGGCACATTGCACTTATTAATGATGGTTGGTTTAGAAGGTATTGATTTATTTGGTTATGGTTTTAGTGATGCTCTTAGTAAAAAAACAGAAGAATAAATAAAGAAAATTCTTAAATTTGAAAAAATTTTAGCACCTAAAAATTTTTCTTTTTTTAAATTTTTAGCATTCAGGAGAAATTTCCGTTTTTTTTCAGACCCGATTTCTAGCCCTGATTGGGATAAAACTCCAGATCTTGGTTTACTGGCAACTATATTAGATACTCATTTGAAAAAGTTGATTACAGCACAGCATTAAACAAAACACAATAGAAGAATCAAAAGAAATTTATCTAGAATATGAGGAAAATGAAATTCTTCAAATTTGTCAGAAAAATTAAGATATTAACCCAATTTTTTTAAACCAATTTTTGATAATGAAGGCCAGGAAGAACATGATAAGATGTCTGAAGTGGATAATGACTAAACTAAAATTCCTATCATATCTATGGGATGCATGCATAATAATAAAATTCAACAGGCAGGCGTGTGTAATAGAACGATCTGCAGGCGGTGCCAACCTCTTGGTGTGATAAATAGTTGTCACCAAAATTAATTTATCCAATCATGCGTTTTTTTTTATTTTAAAAAAATTTATTTTGTTTTGAAATGAATTATAAAGTTCTAAATGGTATATATTATTCTTTTTAAAAAAATTATTAATTAATTCATATTATTTTATTTATTCATATTTACATTTAGTTATTTTAATAGATTGTTGGATATATATTGATAATAATAATGATAAAATCAAAGAAATCTTAAAAATTTATCATGATAATAACAACAATTGCAATTATGATGAAAATGATTCAAATGATAGTGAAATTTATGATTCAAATAATGGTAATGAGATTGAAATATATGAAGATGAAGATAATGATAATAAAATTGGCAATGTCACTAGTAGTGATGATGTAATTGATAGTGAGGATGGTAATAAAAATAGTGATCAAAGTAACAATGAATTTTTTTGTACAGCTTTAAACTGTGGTAAATCTTTCAGGGATAAAACTTTACTTAACCATCACAGTAAATTTCATGGTGAAAAAAAATTCAAATGTGAATATCCAGGATGTGCAAAAGCATTTGCTCAAAAAATCAATTTAACAACATCATCTTGGAATAAAAATTTTTAAATGTGAATATCCAGGATGTGTAAAAGCATTTTATCAAAAAAGAGATTTAACAACTCATACAAGACATCATCTTGGAATAAAAAATTTCAAATGTGAATATCCAGAATGTGAAAAAGCATTTTATTGTAAAGAAGTTTTAACAATTCATACAAAATCTCATCTTGGAATAAAAAATTTCAAATGTGAGTGTGCAAAAGCATTTACTCAAAAAGGCAATTTAAAAACTCATACAAACCATCATTTTGGAATAAAAAATTTAAAATGTAAATATTCAGGATGTGCAAGAGCATTTTAAAGTAGTGAATTACAATTACATACAAGACATTATTTTGGAATAAAAAATTTCAAATGTGAATATCCAGGATGTGCAAAAGCATTTTATTGTAAAGAAGTTTTAACAATTCATACAAGACGTCATCTTGGAATAAAAAACTATGGATGTAATGTACTTGAATGTGACAAAAGATTTATTACAAAAGCTGAACTCAACTCACATAAATTTAAGCACTATTAAAATTTAGTTACATGATAATTATAATAATTATTAGAGATTTTAAATTTCAAGTTTTAATTAAATAAATATTTGTTACAAGATACTCATGTAACAATAAAATTATACAGTACAAGCATAGTGGACATTTGATTTCATTGGCTAAATTTTGTGATGATCTCCCTTCCAGATATCACACAAAAATTAAATTTATTGACTTGAATATCATTATGCAAATTTGAAAAAATATTAATATTACCATAAAGTCTGGAAAGATAGCACCCCCTACTTTAAAACAATTGAGCATATTAGAAATTCTATTTTGATTGACATTTGCAATTATCACATTTCCATTTCAGTATACGATTTTCATGTTACATAATTTTATGAAACTTGCAATTAGTACAAGGGCCATTTTTTGTTCTTGGTTCCAAGCAAGCATACAATAAAATATTGCCATTTTTGTATAATAATGAATCAGAATCTAATTCCTTTTTTTTTACAAAGATTGTTTGTTAAAATTAAAATTTGATTCTTTTTGCATGTCAAACACTTTGTTAAATATGTTTTCTTTTTTTTTCACATACATAATGTATAAAAGACTTATTTGATGTAAATTTTTTATATTTAATAATAAAAAACTCAAATATATAAATCCTGTAGAAATTTCAAGTTCAAATAAATTAATTAAATTTCATCAAATAAATCATTTAAAAAAATAACCAAATCCAATTATTTATTTTAAAATAACAATCGGAATCACATAACATCTAAAATTTGTTATATTAATATTATAACTATGTCAAGAGCAAAGAATATAGGACCATGTACAATAACCAGTTATGAAGGAACTAATAGATTTTACAAAATGACTCATTATACTATTGAGAAAATAAGATTTAAAGATTTAGAAAATAAATATAACTTTATAAAAGAGGGTGACCAATTATGCTCTAAACATTACCTGGATATAGTTGAGCCTGATAGAAATAACAGAAACAAAAATTCTAGTGAATCAAATTTTCAAAGAATTGATGATTCATATAGTGGATCTTCATCTAGCCAATTAATTAATATGTCTGCTAATGAATTGGAGTGGTCAGATATTAAAGTTAATTATACCAATGAAAATGTTATTATGTCAAGGGAAGATTTTTCATTATTAGTCAAAAATATAGAACAAATGAAATTCCAGCTTGACAATCAACTCTATTATGTGGAGGAAAATGAAGATTCTAGTTTTGATAGTGAAATCAATAGTGGTAATTTATCTATTTATTTTTTTTTTAATGTTGATTAATTTAAATAATAATTTAATAATTTATTTATTAAATAGAAAATGATCCTACCTTTGTATCAAAATTTGAAATTTTAAGCAAGGTCCTTTACAATCAGCAAAGAAAATTAAAAAATAGTACCAAATTGGATCCTGAGGAATTTTCTGATATGATAACACAACAGGATGAAAGATTAGAAGGTTTTTTTAATGAAATGGTTGAAGCAATTATTCCAAGTGGAAGAAAAGAAAAAAATAAAGATGATGCTAAAAGATCAATTGTAGCATTTTGTTATTTGCTGGCAGGTCTATGTAATAAATTCATAAATTCTGTAAAACTTGATATTGGTTTATATCTTGTTGCTGCAGGAACAAGTTGTACTGCAATAGACACTTTGTCTAGAATTGGGATTACAACCAGCTACAAAAATATTGAGAATTATAAAAAACAATTAGCAAGTGATCATCCAAAAAAAATTAATGAATATTTTCATGAAAATGTAAGTAATAAACAACCCAATTAATAATTATATTTAATTTCTAAAATACTTATCATGTATATAAAAATTTTAGATGAATAATTTGTTTTGTTTTAATGTTGATGATTACCACTCTATACATGGCTGGAGACAGCCTAATTCTACTTCACTCTCCACTGTCAACCATATGGCAACTGTTGTGTCAAAAAAAATTGAATGTGGCCCAATTCCTGAAATTTATAATGGAATATCCATATTCAATTCCAACAATATTGAAGCTTATAGAATAAATTTCCAATTAATGAATAATTTCAAAGGAGTATTTGATCAAAGTTATAATGATAGAAAAATAAGGTGGACCTCTTCAAACTTACAACAATCATTAGAGTCCAATAGAACTGAATTACTTTCTATTCATTTCTATAATCCTTTAATTGCTGAAAGGAAACAAGAC